ACCAGACTTGGCGCGCCACAGCTTGCTGGACCTTGATGGACCTTGCTGAAACCGGCGTCACACTGCACAACCCAGTCTCTAGCTGCCCGCTTAATCGCGCCAAGCTCGGCAGCCTACTTCAGCACCCCACGCACGAACTCCGGTGCTGCGAGCTGTCCCAGACGGCTGCAGACGTTGGTGTGAAATAGCGAAACGGTAATATCTACGAAGGAGATTGCAGGAGAGCGCCCGCTGGCCACTAGCATACATTTTTCGGACGAAGTTCCGCCGCCGAAAGAACAAGAAGCTGTCTATCCAGGCAACAACGTCAACCACGCCGTTATTCCGCAATGACGTATCTCAACGCACTCAAAATGTCAAGCGTGCTTGGTTGAAGCTTCACACGTTCTGGAAGGACACCAGCGCTCATCTGAAATGGCAGCTTCTAGTCTACGACGTCGTCATCAGAAGCAGATTGCTTTATGGACTTGAAACAGTCCTAGCGACCAAACCGCTGGCACGAACGCAGTGTGCATTTCACCACACATCTTTGCGTAAGGCGCTGAATCTTGGCAAATACCAAGGCTAAGCTGTTGGAACTTGAAACACAAGCAGCTGGAAGACAAATCATATCTTTTGACCGAGTGCTTGATAGCGGAGGGTTAGGCTGGCCGGTCATGTTTTCACATGCTCTAGTGCAGATCCACTTGGACAGCTTAACCATCAACCGGACTCAGCTGAACCTTCGGTGTAGGTCGCAGCAGAGAGAGGCGACCCAGACAGCGCTGGCTATCGGAAGTGAACGGTTTGATATATGCTAGCCAATACCAAGCTAGCATTTGCTAGTTTTGTATACTCCGACTACTTTTAAGATGACCAATAATGCTACTACCAGGTTTGCATGTTGTCCATTCACGCTACTCCCGGGGTGAGGCTTCGCTTTAGTTTATTTCCCTGATTATATTGAAGCTGATGGAATTGAACCCTTATAGTGCAACGATACTGGAAGCCATAGTAGTAGCTATGTAACTTTATCCATACAAAATACCCGAAGACTCCGCGATTTTGCAGGGGTTTGCAATCTGCTAGCATTCGGTCTGCTATTCCAGGAAGCATTGGGGTTAGAGACCACAGCAACCAAAATAGGATCAAAATTGACCGTTTTCCCCGCATTGAACATCGAACTTAGTCGAACTTGAAGCTTCCTCGGAACTTTTCCTGCGATCTTGGATGTCCCATGTTCAAAGCAGGAAAATATCATTGTTCATAGTTTCAAACTTTCTGGAATTTTGGTCATCTGCCTGCCATCTTGGGTGCGTAAACGTAAGCACGAAAACGCAAAAGCCCCAACACATAGAATTGAATAAATAAACACACACACACACCAAAGGCATTTAGGAACAACAAGTTTGTCATGTTTCCTGCTTTGAAGATTCCTGGCTGCTTCTTCCGTGGGATCTTCGATGTGCAATGTTCATAGCACAGGAAAACATCAAATTTGATCGTTTCGTATCCTTTCGGATTTGGTCCTCTACTCCCCCATTCGAGTGTGGGGTATACCGACCCATGTACAAGCACAAATAGGTTGGGCCATTTGTACTGCCAACCTGTATATTGTACATGCGTTTACTTGTGTTTTTTGAGGAAGGGGGGCGGGCGGGCTATACATGTACACCTCATACACGTACAAACGTCAAGATATGCGAAAATGATGAAAAAAACAGCATCTTGCCGCAACAGCAACAGCAGTGACAAAACATTGATACCAGGACACCCCAATGCAAGCATGCAGTGGTGTGAGGATATAAAAGCTCTAAAGGAGGCCTTGCGAGTCTGATAATATCCGAGTATCAAGATAGCGGAATAGATAGTTTCAGAACGAGTGCATTCAACCCTGTACACCTTTCACAGCATGACAGAGTAATCTATTGAAGCCAGACTGTCTGCCCACGGCACAGCCACACATGTCAGCTTGCAGTAGCATGGCAGTATCGCTGTGCCGTGGTATCATAATTGTGTAGGCAAAGTGGGGCACCTTCAAATCATTACAAGCGCACCAAGCATGCGTTGAAACAGCATAACAGCGAATAGCAGAGGTAGAACTGGGACATGTCGCTGTGGTGTCCTGAGGTCAAGGGGCTGTCGCACACGACCGCCCCCGTCACAGAGGACGCCGCAAGTGGATTTAGCTACAGTTGGAACATTATGAGATGTATCGAGCCACGTGCCTGTTGTGCAGAACTTGATGCCATGTTTTGTCAAGAAAAGGTCGTGAAAGTGTTCGAGCGAGCTCAACACTCATGAGGACCTAATTCACACTCATTAGCAGTTCAAGCAGGCTGATATTTTCTGGGAGCAAGGAATGGTTGCCTGGGGGGTGTCCACGTTGGGCATATGATTTCGGCCTACAAGCCAAGACATGCATTAAATGAACCGCAGATCCAAGCCAGTTGCCAATGCCACAGTTGTGGCAACACATGCATTCATTTCTGGTGTTCCTTCTTGTATGAGTGTTGTGAACAGTATCTCAAATTGCTGCAATGTGCAGTTGTAGGGGTCATTCTGCGACAATCGCACTCGCAGGAGGAGATAGCAGAGATGCAGACTCCTGCTGACACGCAAGCATGGCCTGTTTGCAACGGCCTTCCCACAGCTGGGTCTCGGCGCTGAGCTTGAGCGTTTCGTTTCTTGTGAGCATCCCGTGTGGCAGTAGAAGAGGGACAGGTGTGTCACGTGTTGGCAGGAAGCAACCGCAAGATCAAGATCTAGAAGATCCAGGAGAGAGTCTGCTGCTGAGCCACAGCCGTCCGGACGTGGCACATTCCGTCACCACAGCTTTCGGGTGGTTCTGTTCTGTGGATCCCACCAGTCCAGGAGTCCAGGCGATAGATGGTATGCTTGGCAGAGTGGGTCAAAGCAACCCTTAGCTTCTGCCCCAGGAATTCCTGAAGTACTCATGTCATACACACAAAACCGTCACACACCCGTAGAACTTCAACCCGAATTCGGCATGTTATTGATCCGATAAGATGCTTCCCGAATTTTTGAACCTCTCCGAAGGAATGATCCGATCCTGCGCTCTGCACGAAATCAGGGATCAGGGCGTTACGGCAAGCCAGCTTAATATTTGGTGGCCTGGATTCGTGCGCAGTGCATTCGGGCAGGACCCGGGGTTGGTACAGGTTGAGTAAGCATAGGGTTGGGGTTTCTATGGGCTTCTAGAATTTGCGGGGTCGTTCCCGCAGCAGGAGCATGGATGATTGCATAGTTTGTGCGTGCTACACTGGCAAACGAGCCGACATCCGGAAAGCATCTGACGGCCTGACGGCGTTACATTATGGCGAGCTTGGCATGTCCTGTTTGCCTGAAGATTGATCCGCTGTCATCTGCTGTCTGGAAAGCATTTGACCGTCCGGTCGGTGTGTTGGTGATCGGGTGCTAAAATCATCTGATCGTCGCATTGGTACTCTACCCACCCACACACCTGCACACGCCCATGCATGCTTGCATGCATGCAAGCATCCCAGAGTGACATAATTGTGCGGGTTTCTCAGCTCGGGTTTCCACAGAGGCCTGGATGGCTGTAGCTCAGATGGTTGCGACGATGACAAATTGACCGGTGCTCAGATTCAGCCATGCAGAGCAGCACACGGGCAGGAGAGTGGAAGAGGCGTGTTCCGTGATCTCAGTCTTGGAGCCTGTGCTTCTTGGTCTCGGAACCTCCATGCAATGAATGGGGGCTACACAGGTGTCGCGACGAGGAGGACTACTATGCTTTTCTCCGTGAGATGGCGCGGGCACCCAGAGGATTCATTGGCACGGAAGCATGCAACACTGCTGGCTGAGATGCGAACAGCGGCAGAAATGCCCAAAGCTCAAATCTAGGGCACCCGCATCTGCCCCACCGTGTGTTCGCAAGAGCAATCGCAGCGGGCCAGAAGCGCGTTTTCGCATGGAAGTTGCCGTATGTATAGGAAGCAGACAGTAGAAACATTCGACCAAATCAGATTGATTTTCACGCAGACATGACTGGTTGTGTTGTTGCCTGCACTGCGAAAGGGGTTGTGAGAGGCTTACATACTCTTAGCGACGGGAGCGTCTTTCAGTCGGACTCGGGACGCTTCGGAAGTCATTGTGACAGTCAGCTGCTGGACACCAGCTCTGCATGAAACCCCCGTCACCGGCAAGCAATGCTCGAGATCTTGTCAGCCCCTGCACAACCCTAGCATCATCACCACAGCATGCAGGACAGATGGGAGTCCAAACTCTTGACTCTTGAAGGATGGGGGGGTGAAAGTCAGCAAGGATGTCTGTGCAAACACCCACCCCATGGCCCATGACGCGCCCCTTGTGCTCTTGCGGGCCCTCTTGCCGAGCGCGTCGGCACTTCTTGCATCCATGCGAGACCTTCAAAGCGAAATCCTTGTCCAACATAGTGTACAACACGCCGCGCAGCAGGAAAAGATAGAGCAAAAGTTCGGAAAGTGCCTCCAGGCGGGCTCTTTCGAGGCGACCTATGACGAGGACTGTGTCCCGGTTGGACTCGCTCAGCCTGGGGTTTCGGTAGTTGCGACTGGCTTACCGACAGTTGATCGAATCTTCCTTTCGCGGACCTGCTTGGGCGGAGGTTTTGGGTACTGGTTTGCGGGATGACCTGTTCAAAGTGGCCGCTGATGGCTTGATGTGATAAGAAAACTGCCACCTGACCTCAGTGCGGTGATGTATCTGCAGCCGTATCCAGGGTATCCTGCATGCTTGTCCATGAAGCCATGAAGCTGTTCTGACCGCAGGCCACGTCCATGTTCTGAAAGCTTCTCAAAGCCGGAAGCCGGAACCTGTGATGCTGAAAGTTGGCAGACAGCCACCAACTCCAGGACTCCCTCCCCTCGGATCGAGCAACCTGGTAGAGCAACCTACACAAAGAGCCCGAATGCACTAAGAAGAGTCAAGATTCAGGATGAAAGGACAACCCGCCCAGAATAACCTCAAAGAGTCACTCGAATGCATCTTGAGCGGTTGCCATGTCGCTGCGGCGGTCAAAGCTGGACAAGAATTCTGCCCCTGGCCTCAGTGGCCGAGAAATCGAATTTGGTCCAGGTTGAGTTGAATAACATCTTGAAACTTGTTGATCTCGAGCCATGTCGGGCAACAATATCCCCACGACCACTCCATAAAGAGCGTCGTCTCATACCCCTCTTGCGAGAGTCAGGTCTACTACCGTTTCGCGCACAAGAGCCAAGTGCTTGAGAAGATCGAGCCAGGACCCCGGCCGTGTGCTTGAGGATAAAGGCTGCAGCTCCAACGCTTGCATGGCTCGTGCCCTTTCCGACCAGTCTGTCTGTAGGGACAACGCGGGGCACAGAGTGCGTGCATCTCTCAGGTTCTACGGGAAAGAGATTGCCATCGGCGACTTGAGGCACACGATAGCGGAGAAGCAGAAGCTTCCGAAGGCCATCAGGACGCACAGCCGATCACTGCCTGCTCCGGGACCTCCCTTTCCATTCCGGAGCACTGGTTTGATGTCCTCAGAAGTTGTCAGATACGGATGGTCTGGTCCGCAGTGAGTCTGCACTGCGTCGCACAGGTGGATTTGCAGATTCTCAACGAATCTACCGGGGAGGCACTTTCCTCTGGCTGATTCAGCACGAGACTCCGCTATTACGACAATGAGGGACCAAGAGCCTCAGGTGTACACTCGCGATGGTCATCTGCTGCGGCCCAATGTGATTGTTACTCGACGGCGATTGAACTCCATGCTCAGTCAGTTCTTGGCTAGTAACCGTAGCAACATGTAGCAACCATCGCAATGATCCTCACGGGAACAACACTATTCACATTGGAATTACATGGAATTACTCCCGACAGCCAGGGAACCTTCCCTGTTTGCAGCCTCAGCAGCCGAAGCTCGACTCAGCACACGAGGTCACGGTGCGCCGGACACCGATCCAAACACAGAAGAAGCCGGCTGTCCTCAACTTAGAAGGACACATCTTGGGGCGAAGTGTTGGTAACGCAGGCTTGGGGACCAGGCGAAGGCTCTTTGTCCGATACATTGCGCGGATGGAATTTGCAGGCCTGCCTTGGGAAGACTGCCTCTGCAGAACCGTCGGGCCGGTTAGAATGCCATGGAAGAAGTTGAGAACATCCAGAGTGACATTAGATTACTGTATGGGCAGGGGCATGAGCAGTGGTCCCATAGCTTGCACTTGAGTGGCGAGGAGCTGACATACTCAGTCGTGTGAAGCGAGCGAAGACTGCTCCGCAGCCAAAGCAGTGATCCCAGCACATTTCAGCCCGATTGGATCTTGGTGTTAGGGTGTTTTCAGTGGCTCTTGGCAGGGGTCTATGGTTTAAGGTTTTTGTCGCGGCCCGATCGAGTCCGGGTCCGGAGCGCTGTTTCTGGAAGCGACTCGAGGGAATCAGGACTGCTCTGGGATGCTTCGACCCGTCACTCTTCAGCCTCAAGACTTCAAGCTGAAGCAGTTTCGCCCCGGTCACCTCCAGGCCTGCAAATTAAGGCAACTTCCTGGCTGTGACCACAGCCCTTGCTAAAGTCTTTATGCCTACTGCTTGAGGCCGGAGCCAGTGCCAGAAGAGAAAGCTCCTTGCCCTCCGGAGTACTTGTGCCAGTGGCCCAGAAGCTGAGAGTCGGAGGTTTTTCTGGCAGAGCCCACAGTGTCTCAGGCTCCTTGTGCACGGGGCTCTTCGAGCCTCGGCGAAGTCTCAGGGCTGGATCTCCACGGCCTTCCGTGCTTCAGGGCTTGATAGGCTTAGGGCTGACTTGCAGGGCTTTTCAGGATGATGGGGTCGAAGGCCAAGCCAGACTGGGCGTTCATTCTGCACCCGTGCGAGAGATGAGTCTGTTGGTGAGTCTCCACTCAATCAATCAATCAATCAATCAATCAATCAATCACTGGAAAGCTTTAAAGCAGCTCGATCAGGAGAACCCGAGCATTGCGCCTTGCTGCGGTCGGTCTGCCTGCCTGCGCTGCTTTGAGGCCGGACCCGAGGGTTAGTACGGGCTCATGGTTTTAGGGTGTCATGTTCTTTTGGTCCTGTTCACGGGCTCCCTCCCACAAGAGCCCAAAGCAGGCGCAGCCGACGACGATCTGCCCCCTTTGCAAAAGGTGGGCACTGCGTTGTTATTTGGGGGGCCTCCGGCCCAGGGCCCATCCTTTCTGAGTGGGAGCTACGAGGCTTAACCTCTTCAGCAAGGCTTCTGCTTCTAGACCCTAAGGCCCTAGGGCCCTAAGTTGCAACACGATGTTCTGGCAACGCTGGACAAAATGTTTTCCCCGAGCTAGGCGTCTCCGCAGAGACGGAAGGTCGAGCGGAATTCTTGGCTTCATGGTCCCGTCTTCGTCATGTTGCCAGGATTCTGCTAGCAAACGAAGGGAATCCGCTGGAGCATGAACCCCCAACCACCTAAACCCTAAACCATGTAAACCATAAACCTGCCGCCAGGCAGAGAGCGGAAGATCAGAAGTTGCGATCTCAGCCAGCATCAGCCAGCGTTCGGCAAGATTTTGGAGCTCTCCAGCCGCAAGCCGCAAGCCACCTGAAATGCCGGAGAAGTGAGGCCCCTGCCCAACCCACGGCTGGCGGACATCATCGCCTCCCTGAATTTGGATTTCTTCGAGCTTCCAGCCGTGACAGCAGGGGGCTAATCTGCCAGCACGGGAATTCAGAATCTTTGCGACCTCATCCTCAACCTCTTGCGTGCCCCAATCACAGAGGATCCGGGTTTGGAGCTTGGGGGTTTTGCCGAGAACAATCGACCGCAGGATGCAGGGGTTTGACACCTGCGCGTTGTAGAGCCTAGCTGCAGGTGGCACGGCAAGCAGCAGCCGCCCGAGGCGCCAGGAACGAGTCTTCATTGGGAAAATCAAAGCTAGCGGCTAGTGGCGGTTTAGGGTCAGGGAACGCCCCGTGAAGCTGTCGGCCTCCTACTGGCACTTTGTCACAGTTCGATTCGACCTTGGCAGAAAAGATAAGCGTGAGCGCCCCCGCGCACAAAAAGAAAACAGCACTGCCATTTTCAAGCCGCATGCCCTTTCAATCGACAGCTGCGGCGCAAGCGCCTGCCACCACAGCGCCGGCCACTACGGTGGCGCCGCCGGTGGAAACAGCATCCCGGTACGATCAGGAACAGCTCCGCTTTCTTCGAAGCTTATAAGTACATTACGTATTTCAGTGCGTTTTGTCCGCTGTTAGCCAGGGGGTGGGGATGTGCTCAGCTCTCAGGCGAAGGTCACGCGGTTCTTTCGCGGTGGCAGCAGGTCGTCTTGACATGGGGTCGAGGGTTCCGGGGCATGGACCGGGCCAAGGCTGGGAGAGGGAGAGCAGGTGCGTGCAGGGTCTTCCAAAGGGCCAGATGACTAGACCTAGAGACCTCGAGCCCTGGCTGGAAACCCAAGTCGGAACCCAATGTGCACAAACTTTTGCCACTCGATGTGTGCTGATCACGCCCTTGGAGAGCTTCAGGTCGAAGTGAGGGTAGCGACACCAACAATAGTGAGTGTAAGAGAAACAGGCAGCAGCAGAGCGACCAGCAGAATAGCAGCAGCAGCACTTTCATGTGGCTAAGGTCATCATCATCATCGTCACACCATCACCGTCACCAGCGTCACCATCATCATCATCATCGTCATCCTCCTCCACCTGGACCTCCTCCGTCTCATCATCGGTGTCATCGCCATCCCCCGCCTCATCATCGGAGTCGGCCTCATCATCATCATCATCCAGCAAATTGCTTCTCTCAGCAGCATATCTGAAACCTTTTCAAGGACGAGCCAAGTTCAACTGGTTTCTTGCCCTAAATGTCTGAGAAGCCTTGCACCCTAGGTCCCCGCACCTTTGCCAGCGCAGGCCGGCGTGGCAAAACAGAGGGTGAGGGTGAGGGTGAGGAGAACGAGTCCTGCGTAAGGCTTCGCTTCGTGATCAGAGATTGATTTAAATGGAGTCGCAACCGGCGGAACCACAAGGATTACCACCACGACGACATCTGAACTACTGCAACAGAAGTGGTCGTAGTCTTACTATGCGGAACAACAGCAGACAGAGCACTGTGGAAGTGATTACCGAGCGGCAGAAACCAGGTGAAGCATAGATCACATGTTCGACAGCAGCGATCGCTTTGAGCTGATTGTCTCGTTCGCTGCGATGTTGGGAAGCCTTAACCTTGAAGTACTTGACTCTCAAGGGTGGACCAAGGGAAAGCTGGCGTTTCCTTGATGTGGTTTGCGGTGTCCAGAGACGTTGATCCACGTGGTTCACTGATAACAGACCAGACCATATATGCTCAAAGGGTAGATCGGGGTACCTCAATATGAGTGGCTTCCTTCAATAGGAGTCTTCCACAGAGAGCAGGCCCTTCTTGTCTGTCACCTTCCCGCACTGCCATAAAGAGAGGGTTTCCGGGCTGGGGATCGGCCGTTGCTTTACAACCTTTAGAGCTTTCCAGTTTGGTCTTTGTACCGAGCCGCAGAGCAGCGCAAGTCCTGCTTCAAACAAGACCAAAGCCTCAGATCGTGTTCATGTACTGGGATCTTGACATGGCGAGCTGTTGTCTTACTTGAGAGGCCCCCGTCAGCACGCCGCCCGCGGCACCTGCTTCTTGATCGAACGCTTCTGGTGTTTTGGTGTAGTATGTACTGCAATAAGAGGCATCAGCGCCAGGCCACAAAGAGTGCAAGGGATCCTACTTGGCCTCAAGTCTCGAGCCTCGACCCAAGCCGGATCTTCCCCTCAGGAGGCAATCCATCCAACTGCAGAGTCTGCCGGAGTCCAATACATGCCAGGCCGCGAGGCTTCAACCCCTGTCCTTCCATCCCCCACATCTTGATGAGGCGAAGGAAGCGCGCACAAGATGCCGTTGCCGGGACTCTGTTGTCGAAGTCCTCGCGAACGAGCCAAAGTCTGAAATCCAACGTCTGCCTCTGCTGACATGCCTGGAAACCCAAATTCTAGTGTACAGGCACACGGGCAAGCAAAGCTGTACAAGCAAAGTAATGACAGATTAAGCGCATTTCGAAACACACAGACACCATCAATGAGGAGACACCGGGCCAACCCAGCCAATCGGAATGGAACACGTATGTATGTCTGTGTATATGTATGTATAATAATGTATATGTATGTTTATATTTATAACTATAAGTTATATATATATAAATATATATATAT